GCAGGGGTGGGGCGGGAGCAGGCAGCATACTCCCCCCTCCCCCCCAGGCCTCCTTCCCTTCTGTGTCCTCAAACTGTGCTGGGTTAATGGGACAAAATGGTTCCCCAAAGACAGGGAGACTGGTTGGTTTGCAGAAGGACAAACCCTGGGTGGGCAGACGGACAGATCAGACCTGGTGCCAGGGGCTTCCCACCCTGTGCCCTGTCTTCCCTGAGCCGTGAGCCACGCTGGGGAAGGAAGCATGCGGTTTGGGGGGCTGCAGGGCGGGCACACCGCCCGTGCCGGGTCAGTGAGGCCTGCAGGCTGAGCACTGCGGGCTGAGTGCCCAGAACCAGTGGAAACCCCTTGGCCCCAGCTCGGGGCTGTGAGGTCCACGTCCACGGTGGCATTGGTGAGGCCCTGCAGGCTCCATGTTTCAAAACATGTCTGAAGGTTTCACGTGGGCCGAGAGGTAGACACAGCCTGCCAGCTTTCACTAGAAAGCGCTCCCACCCACCGTCAGACACTGCCAGACGGCCCCCTCCGCCGTGACCCCCTCCACCACACCCCTGCTGCGGGCCCTTGCCAGTGCTGCTGCTGGGGACAGTTCCATTCAAGGACAGAGACATCCAGACACCTCATCCCTGAGGGCCAGAGGAGGGGTGCACAGAAAGGCGCATTCAGCGCCCAGGGCAGTGCCCAGGTCAGGCCAAAGCTAGCTTGAAGCCAGGCCGGGTAAGTGGTGGCTGTGGTGGTGGTGGTGTCCAGTGGAAAGTCCACTTCCCAGACACAGGAAGTCAAGGTGCCGGACATCCTGAGCAGAACGTCCAACACCAAATCTGGTGAGGCTCTGCCCACCTTCCTCCAGGTCCTGAAGTCCACAAGGGGCAGGTAGATGGCGAGGCCCCGAGAGGGGGCCACTGCACCCCTTCTGGTGTCCACGCATCACACCTCCGCTGAGGGCTGGGCTAGACAAAGCTGGACGGGGTGTGTGTGTGTGTGTGTGTACACATGTCTGTGCACAGGTGTCCGTGTGCATCCCCTGAGCTCTCCCCGCTCCTGCCCAGTGACCCCCAGGTCCCACACCGGCGCTCTGGTGTGGTAGGTGGCTGGGGTCCCCTGCCGACCCAGGTGGAGCGGCCGTGGGTCAGGCTGCGCCCGCCTCCCCACAGGGCCTGGAGGCCTGCTGGAGGCAGCACCGCCTGGCCTCGGCCTACCTGCACTCGCAGCTGCAGGAGCTAGGCCTGCAGCTCTTCGTGAAGGACCCGGTGAGGGGTGGGGTCAGGGGTCGCGGGGGGCTGCGGGGGGCCGGGGGGCCAGGCTCCTGGAGCCCAGGGAGGAGGACTGCTGGAGGACCCCCTCCAGGGCCCTGTGGGCAGCCATCAGTAAGATGGCACCTGCTGTCCTCAGAGCCTGAAACCCGGGCAGGGCGGGTGGACGGGGCGGGAGGCCTGGGCAGGGCCCCAGGCTGAGCTGGCACTTCCTGCAGGCCATCCGGCTCCACACGGTCACCACAGTGGCCGTGCCCCCCGGCTACAGCTGGAGGGACATCACCGACTACTTGATGGACCACTACAGCATCGAGATCACCGGCGGCCTCGGGCCCTCTCTGGGGAAGGTGAGCCGGCTCTGCCCGGGTCTGCGCCAGCCCGCAGAGGGCCTGGTCAGCCGCAGGAATGGACAGTCGGACAGCCACCGGTCCCACCGGAGCGGCCCTCCCCACAGCCAGGCTGGAAATGCAGGCCTGATTCCGCCCACCCAACAGGAGTCTGCCTGCACCAGGCTCTCCACTTCCCCTCCGGTCACTGGCTGGGCTGACCGGCCCCGGCCCTGGCCCACCCCGCCCCTGCCCTCTGACCCAGGACAGAGGCTGACGCCTGCCACCACGTGCGCCCACCAGGTGCTGCGGATTGGCCTGATGGGCTGCAACGCCACCAGGGAGAACGTGGACCGCGTGGCCGAGGCCCTGCGGGAGGCGCTGCGGCGCTGCCCCCAGCGCAAGCTGTGACCCCCAGCGCGCCCGGCGGAGCCCACGGACGGCGCGAGGCCCGTCCCGCCGGGCACCGCAGGCAGGGCAGGGTGGGGCAGCCTCTCCCCACACGTGGAACCTTCTGGAATAGCGCCCACAGTGCCTCCCACGGGAGCCCCCGTCCTCCCAGGACACGGGTGCCTCTCAGCACCCAATAAAGGGCCGGTCCGCTCTCCTCTTCTCTCGTGTGGACAGTGGCGGGGCTGTTGGGGGGATCTGTATGTACCCTGCCCAGTTCGGAGAGCCTACGGGAGATCCTCCCGCAGGACTGGTTACTCTCACCTCACTCTGTCCCCAGATGACACATCCCAAAACACATCCTCACATGCCACCTGGAGGAAGCCCTGGAACTCAGATGGACACCCGCGAGTCTGTGGCCCTGGCCAGGTGCTGACCAGGCCCTGGCCCTGGGCCCTGTCCTCAAGCGGGCGGCTGAGGGGGCCCTTGGCCCCCGACACCCCCCTGCTGGGCTGCACTGACCTCTCACCCCTCTCCTCTGGTCCGCAAAGCTTGGTCCAGGTGGCCTCCTGGTCCACGTGGTACCAGGGAGCGCCCGGGGCAGCCCCCCATGGCCAGGCCCCCGCCCTCTGCTCCTAAAGATCCCGGGGTCCACGTCAGCCCATGTGTGCGTGGAGGTGGGCTCCATCCCTGTCCTGGCCTTAGGTTGGGCTCTGAACTAGCCCACCATGACCAGAAGAGATGGGCCTGAGGGTCACCTAGGCCCAGTCCCCGTGGTCCAGGCAGGCGGGCCGGGGCGGGGTGGGGAGGGGCTCCTGGAGAGGGGCCTGGAAGGCAGGGGCCTCATGCAATCTGGCCCTGTCTTGCTTGGGTCTCCCAAAAGCAGACACGGAGGCTAGAAGTCAAGCGCAAGCAGTCTGTGTGTGAGAGGACCCAGGGTTCACCCCGGGGGGGGGCTGCCAGTCCCACCACTGGACCCCCATCAGCTCCGAGCTAGCAAAGGGCTCTGCTGCTTCCAGTGCCCCGGCGTCTCCGACCCCCACACACAGCGCCGGCCACCTGTCCTGCTGCTGCCAGGACCCCGTCCTGCGGGGAACATTCCGGTCTGCCCCTTCATCTGGGGTGGACGGGCACCTAGACAGTGCCCAGCTTGAGGCGTGATGATCTGGGGCTGCCACCGACTCCCTGCTTCAAGGCTTTGTGTGGCTGTGTGTGCTGGTTTTCCTTGGGTCACAATGAGGAGTGTGAATTGGGGTTTCTCGGCTGACCTGGCTGGAAGTTTGGGCGGTGATTTTGTCTCGCAGGCATAAACACACCTAGTGTGCATTTCTCCAGTCACTCGTGGTGTCCGGTATCTTTTCACGTGCTCCTTCCCAGTTGCTTGTGCTTCTTCTTCTGACACATGTCAGTGCAAACATGTCGCTCGTGTTATTTGGATTTTCACCTGTTGTTGTAGTTCCTGAGAGTTGTTTCCTGTATTCTAGATCTGTTATCTGTGGCTGGAGTATTTTCTCCTCTCTGTAGCAAAACTATTCACTTTCCTAATGGTTTCTCCAAAGAGCAGACATTTTAACTTCTGGGCAGAGTCCTTTTTATCCATGGGTTTTCTTGTATATCCTGCGCTCTCTGTGACTCCGCCCAGAAGCCTCTCCCTCCTATCCCCAGAGAGCAAAGAACCTGCCTGTTTCCCTCACTACGTTGTGGTGCAGATCTGTGCCACCTTGCATTAATTGTCCTTGGAGTACGAACGGGATCAAAGTACACGTTTCCATAGCGATATCCACTTAGCTGTTCTAGCAACATCTGTTAAACATAAGTCACCTCTCTGCTCAATTGACCTGTCAGCTTGTTGGAAATCCATTGTCTAAATAGTTGTGGTGTGTCTAGCCCTCCGCTCTGTCCCAGGCCTATGCTGTCCCTGTGCAAGCCTGCGTGTGGCGGTTGTGGAAGTTCTGAGAGGAAGATCATCGTCTCCCTCACAGACTGTCCTAGCCGGGTCCTGTGAACTTCCCTGCAGGCTGGCTTCGTCTTGTCTGCTTCTGTGAACTCCCTGCTGGAACTCCACGTGATAAGGGCAGTGGAAATGACCACATATTGAAAACCCCAAATCATGAATGCAGGTGTTTTTAAGCAAGGTCCCTAGTTTTCAGCGTAGGGCCCTTGCATGCATCTTTCGTTAGATTTATTCCTAGCTGCATTCTACATTCTTCTCTAGATATTTATAAATGAGTATCATGAAAAGCAGGTATTTTCATTTCCACTTACTCTAAATAGACTCTGTGTGTGTGTGTGTGTGTGTGTGTGTGTGTGTGTGTGTGTGTGATCTTGCTAGTAGTTTCTCTAGATTTCTTTCTGACCACCCTATGCACACTTGGGGTGAGTGTGTGTGTGTGTGCCACTGTCCAGGGCCAGCTGAATGATAGTGTCACCAAATCTTCTACACACTAGATCTGGGTCACCTCCTGTCACCCACCATGGTCCCCCTTGATTCCTGTCTGGCTCAGCTTGGTGGGCTAGCCTGTGAGTCCCGCCGGGCTCAGCTTGGTGGGCTAGCCTATGGACCCAACCTCTTCTATTGCACCCTGATGAGGTGAGTTTGCCTTTCTGGGTTGTTTGGCTGAGGAGTAGCGATGGCTTCTTGCCCTTTACTACATCAGAACTCTCACTTCTGCTCAGGAAGTCCATCCTCAGCCGTGCTGAGCACCGAGGAGGTGGTCAGTGGGCCGTGGTCCTCCGGTCTGTGTGACTCTGACTGAGCGCCCTCTCCTGTGGTCCTCCGGTCTGTGTGACTCTGACTGAGCGCCCTCTCCCGCGGTCCTCCGGTCTGTGACTCCGGGGTGAGCGCCCTCTCCCGCGGTCCTCCGGTCTGTGTGACTCCGCAGACTGAGCGCCCTCTCCCGCGGTCCTCCGGTCTGTGACTCCGGGGGCTGAGCGCCCTCTCCCGCGGTCCTCCGGTCTGTGTGACTCTGACTGAGCGCCCTCTCCTGCGGTCCCCCGGTCTGTGACTCCCGCAGACTGAGCGCCCTCTCCCGCGGTCCTCCGGTCTGTGACTCCGGGGGCTGAGCGCCCTCTCCCGCGGTCCTCTGGTCTGTGTGACTTCGGGGGCTGAGCGCCCTCTCCCGCGGTCCCCCGGTCTGTGTGACTCCCGCAGACTGAGCGCCCTCTCCTGCGGTCCTCTGGTCTGTGTGACTTTGGGGGCTGAGCGCCCTCTCCCGCGGTCCTCCGGTCTGTGTGACTGACTGAGCGCCCTCTCCCGCGGTCCTCCGGTCTGTGTGACTGACTGAGCGCCCTCTCCTGCGGTCCTCCGGTCTGTGTGACTCCCGCAGACTGAGCGCCCTCTCCCGCGGTCCTCCGGTCTGTGACTCCAGGGGCTGAGCGCCCTCTCCCGCGGTCCTCCGGTCTGTGTGACTGACTGAGCGCCCTCTCCCGCGGTCCTCCGGTCTGTGTGACTCCCGCAGACTGAGCGCCCTCTGCCGCGGTCCTCCGGTCTGTGTGACTCCCGCAGACTGAGCGCCCTCTCCCGCGGTCCTCCGGTCTGTGACTCCGGGGGCTGAGCGCCCGCACAGCCATGGCGTCTCTGGACTCGTGTTGATGTCGGCTCAGGCGCTTGCACTGCCCTGGAAGGCCCTGCCGAGCACCTGCTTTCCTTGCCTTACTGTGCTGGCCATCGGTGCCCAGCACAGAGCCACGGCCTCCCCTGAGCCCAGGGACTGCTGTAGCCTGGGGGCTGAGGAGTCAATGATGGGCAAAGATGATGGAGAAGGGAAAATGCTCACTGGAGCCAGGCGCCGGAGCCTCACCCCTGTGGCCCTAGCTACTCAGGAGGCTGGCATCTGAAGATCATGATTCAGGGCCAGCCTGGCGGAAAAGTTCACTAGCTTCCTGTCTCCAAATTTGCCATAAAAAAAGACAGGGCTGGAGGCATGGTTCCAGCGGTAGAATGCCAGCCTAACATGAGACCCTGAGTTGAACCCCCTGTGTATATATTATATATGATCACATATTACACAGGCCAGGGACCCTCTGCTCATTTTAGTGTCCTCTGAACAAGGAGGTGGGGACAACTGAGCAGGGTCACCCCAGAGGACGGGAGGTCTGAGCGGTCCCCTGCGCATGAGCATCTACTGCTCTCGGATTCTACACACAGAAGGTAGACGCTGCTCCTTGGGTGTTCTGGGACTTTACTGCATTGGAAATGGGACAGAGCATTTTGTCTGCAGGGCCATGCAGCACACAGGACCCAACCTCCGGGTCCAGCCCCCACGGACACAGCTGCACCCCAGGCCTCCCCTGGATGGGCAGCTGCCGGAGCGGGTGCGGACAGCCCCTCGGGCCCTCACAGCCGTCCTGTGGACAGAGTCCCTCCACCACAGCTTCTCCACATGCCCACGATGCGCAGGGAGAGCCGAGGTGGGTGAGCACAGCTTCTCCACATGCCCACGATGCGCAGGGAGAGCCGAGGTGGGTGAGCCCAGCTTCTCCACATGCCCACGATGCCCAGGGAGAGCCGGGGTGAACGGCCCGGCTCAGTTCTCCTTCCTACCCAGGGCCTTGGTCTTCAGGAAGACGCTCTGCATGGCGGAGACGCGGTCCTTGTCCGTGATGTTGAAAACCTGGAACTGAGGCAAGCCGAGAGAGGTCACCACCCAGGACAGGCCAAGAGAGACCACTACCTAGAACACAGCCCCCCGACATGGGATTTGTGCCCAGAACACAGCCCCTGACACGGACATCTGCACTCAGAACGCAGCCCCATGACTCCAGGTGTCCACCTGACATGGCCCCCCTGACCCTGGCGTCCACCTGGATGAGCCCCGCCCCTCTCAAAGCAGCTTGCACACCGTCCCTAGCACAGGCCTGACAGAGGATGCCCCACGAGGTGTCCCGTCCCCAGCCCTGCCCACCCAGGTCGGCTGAGAGCGGGGAGCAGCCCCACGCCTTGCTGCTGACAGGTGGGTAGCTCTCCAATGGCGCAGGGCAGGAGGCCGGCAGGCGGACCTCGCTAGCAAGGCTGGGGAAGCACCAGGCCTCGAGGCCACTGGGACAGGAGAAGCTGGCCAGACAACGCCAGGTGTCCCTGGAGGAGGTGGCGTTTGCTGTATGGGGAGGATGAGGACTGGCCTTGTCAGGGGCGGCTGGCAGAGCCGCCAGGCACCCCAACAGCACGCCGGGGGACAGTGTCCTAGATGCACGGCTGCGGGAGTCCTGAGAGCCCGCAGCA